CTTTTATAATAACAAATATGATATATATAGATGTATACAAATTTAATGTTAATAAATAAACTAACAATTAGTTTGGTTAAGTTGGTTGGAATTTATCAGTTTTACAATCAAGACTACTGGTCAAATCTTATGATTTTTTTTTTCACATTTTTATTTTTACATAAAAAAATAATAAATAAATATATTATGGTTTGGTGTCATAACCAAAGCTTTAGAATTGAGAATCGGACTAATTTGAATGGTTCCATCATTTTTAGAATCAGACCAGAATCGAAATTAACCAAACTAACCAAACTGATGACATGGACTGAATTGAATCGGTTTATCGATTCCATTAATTTTTCTAAACAACCCAATAACACATTGGCACCCCAAAAAATAAAAATAAAAATAATAATTTTTGTAACATAATCCTAAAGAATTGTAACCTGTTGAATTTATTCAATTTGTCAAAAAAAAAAAAATTATCAAATAGAATTAATTTTATGTATAAATAATATATACATAATTATCGACAAAATAAATATTCAAATTATTAAAATGAGACTTGTAACAACACCCTTGCAATCTAAAGTCGAAAAATCACACCAAAAAAATCAACTCAAAGCCCAACCAAAAAGGCATTGAAAACTTGAAAGTCCGTCCATCTTCAAAGCGCCATACATTTGGGATGAAAAGTCGTGTTGGGATGACCGACCCAATTTTCATTCATATTGGTCCCTCTTCCACTTTTATTTTTCATGAAAGTGTAGTCTGTTATGAAATAATTAGATAACTATGGAAAGGAAATGTAATTGAAATTTTAATGAGTTTTGAATCAAAGTAAAAATAAGAAAAAATTTTACCATGCGAAAAGTATAGTATGCTGTGGGTGTTGATTTCGACCACATAACCAAACAGGAAACTTAGCTAGAGAGCACGCAGCAGAATAGATTAAGCCAACCACCTGCCAATAAGAAGATGAGAATACTGCGGTGGTTCGTCCACCCGGGGAGCACTCCGACGATCAAGTCAGTCGCTTATCTCACAAGATATCATCAATTCAAATCAAGAGCTCACAACATAAATCACATCACAAATAAAAGCATACCTTAGACTCCCTTAGACTCACGGGAGTGCCTCACTTTTATAATGGTTAGTGTCTAACTTCTCCTAGAAGTCTTACTTCATAGAACTCTATCTTTTACAAGGATAATATCTATCATAACTCACACTATGAACTTCCTCAAGAGTCCAATCTCTACCCAAATAGGTAGTTTGATGTCATCTAGGACTTTAGTCCTCTAGTCCTCTATCCAATTATCTCAGATTCTGGAATTACCGCATCATATCTCAGTACCATGGTCAACCCACGTGGCACCTCGGCTAACAACATCAACCACGTAGACTACCCAAAAATATGTCCTCATAATTGTCCCCTAGGTTTTATTACCTCGGCAACCTGAGGTGATGGAACCTACATCGTTGCACCTTCCAACATATCAGCTAAACAACATGCTAGATATACTTTTCCGACCAAAATCATGACTTGCCAACGTAAAGAAACAAGGACTCAAATGTCCACTTGTCAAGAATTAAGTACCAAGAACCAAGAACCATCATGTTCTATCTCATGCAGGTCCAACATCTCGACAGAGGTCACACTACTAGCAAAGATCATGACTTGCTAGTTCAAGAACATCGAGATCTCAGTATCAACTCATCAGGAACTAAGAACAAACAAGTTCAATCCCATCTAAATTCAACATCTCAACCAAGATCAACATCTCAACTGAAATCATCATGTCAACCAAGATCAATCATCTCAACCGAGATCATCATGTCAACCAAGATCAATCATCTCAACTGAGATCGCACTATCTCAAATGAGATCACACTATTAGCCGAGATCGTAACTCGCTAGTTCAAGAACATCAAGATTCGAAATCTGTCATCTTAACCGTTATCATGACGTGTCACCTCTTCACTGGCTCCCAATATGTTCCATAATTGATACACGCCGCCTCTTTAGATATCACCTAACATCAGCCATCACATGTCTCCCAAGAAACTTGAATCATTTCAATCTGTCACCTCTTTCCATTCTAACAAAACCTTTTCTCTTTCCCATTTTGTCTTTCTCTGTGTTCCTAAACTCCCCCTCTCTCTTTCTTGGCCTCTACAAACCATCATCGCTATTCTTGAAGCATTCATTACTATGAATACTCCATTCGTGCTCACGGTTCAAACTCTACTAGCTGAACCAAACTAGATGCCAAGCACTTCATTAGTTGCTCCATGCATCAACCTACCATCTCTAGGGCAGTGCAAACACCGACATAGCGACAATCTTATAGCTAGAACCAGGAACAGGAAACACCGAGGTCTTAAGCTCCCAGCCTTAGACCTTGATAATCCTCCAATCGCCCTATTTGCGAGTAACCATCGTTGTAACCAATGATGACATGTCTCGCCGAACTTTTATCGTAGAAGACCTACTTGCTGACATCCCTGATGTCATAACTGTGCAATCCATTCCATCTCCTCATAGTTAATCCAGCATGCTCATGCCTCCAACAACTCAATATCTCGGAAGAGAAGCGCATGAAGCAAGATGACCAAGTTGTTGCTGCCAAAGTCGAGGCCATTGCTAATGCTGCTGAAAAGAAAGCTGTCAAAGTTGAGAAGAAACTAGCAGAGGCACTAACCAACAAGGAGTAGGCGCCAAGGCCTACTCTGAGGGGCAGGCCAATGTGTAGGATGCATACAAAAAATAAGTCAACATGACCTGCAACAAAGGCTACTATCTCGGCTGGGTGGTAGCCCTCAAAAAGCTGTCTATCCACGAGGACTCACCCCTCTGTGACATCGGTCAACTCAATGTCTCTTTTCCTTCCTCTCCCAATCAATCTAAAGATGAGGCTGAGGAAGCAAAAGAAGCCGACAAAGAGGAGGCTAAAGACAAGGAAGAGGTCGAAACCGAGGTTACAGAGAAAAAATCGAAAACTGCTGCTGGGGTCAAGTCCCTTACTCTAAATGATCGAGTCCTGGACTTGATTGAGGAGGATGGGGATGAGGTCTCCAAGTGCACCTCACTAAAGAAGGCCAACACTTCTAAAACTGAGATCACTGCAGCTGCAAAGAGCCTTGACCAGACTTTTTTGGAAATCCACGCTGAAATCATGGCCGAAAAGTCTGCCATGCTGTTTGCCGAGGCTGAAACAATGCCAACAGCCAGGGTTGAACAGTCTAAGATCAATGCATAAGATCCTAGTACTTAGGAATTTTTGTTTCCATTGTACTTTTTTCTTTGTAGTTGTATTTTCTTCTCTGTTTTGAACAATATCTGTTTTGTTGGACTGATGTGCTTGTTTATGTACTTGAACAAGCTGTCTCTTTTCAATGTAAGTCTTCTCTTTTCTTCCAAGTGTTGAATATTGCTTTCATGTATGCTTTCTATATCTTCTTTGTCTTGTCTGTTTCCATACTTATATTCTTTGAAATACTTCTAAATACAACTTGTTTGAATAATCACCTCAGATTAGCACACCTCGGATATAAATCATCTCAGATTGACATATCTCGGGCAACAACTCGCGTCAATTTATGTCAGTCGAATTGCACTTGTAAAAATTTCTCAATACGTTTTTACAAGTGTTGTTTCTTCACTTGTACTTACTGTCTTCTGGCAAGACTTCACCCTTCCAAGTCTAACAACTTGATTGGTTATCTCGGGTAAAAATACCTCTTTCAATTATCTCGGATAACTTTAACCTGTCAAATTTTTCCTAAATTTTCACAAGTGTTGTGCTCATTCCTACTTATTGTCCCCTAATGTGAACATAAGTGAGGACGCATCGCTTGGTTATCGCTTAAGTCTTACTTAGACACTTCTGGCCAAGGTCATCACGTTTGGCTCGTCCAAATGAAGCACTTAAGGCTTAACCTTAGTGCATTGAGGGTACTAATTACCTTAGTTTTTCTTGTAAACTAACCAAGTCATGGCCAGTATCGTCTTGTTTCATGTTGAAACACCACTAACTTTGTTTAACTCTACTGTCATGGCAAGTCTAAGTTAATCGTCATGTTTCATGCGGAAACATTGCTAACTTAGTTCAACTCTATTGTCATAGCAAGTCTAAGGTAATCGTCATGTTTCATGATGAAACATTGCAAACTTAGTTTAACTCTGCCGTCATGGCAAGTCCAAGTTAATCGTCATGTTTCATGCTAAAACATCGCAGACTTAGTTCAACTCTACCATCATGACAAGTCTAAGTTATTTGTCATGTTTCATGCCGAAACATCGCAAACTTAGTTCAACTCTACCATCGTGGCAAGTCTAAGTTATTCGTCATGTTTCATACCGAAGCATTGCAAACTTAGTTCAACTCTACCATCTTGGCAAGTCTAAGTTATTTGTCATGTTTCGTACTGAAACATCGCAAACGTAGTTCAACTCTACCATCGTGGCAAGTTTAATTTATTTGTCATGTTTCATGTCGAAACATCGCAAACTTTGTTCAACTCTACCTTCGTGGCAAGTCTAAGTTATTCGTCATGTTTCATACCGAAACATCGCAAACGTAGTTCAACTCTATCATCGTGGCAAGTCTAAGTTATTCGTCATGTTTCATGTCGAAGCATTGCAAACTTAGTTCAACTCTACCATCGTGGCAAGTCTAAGTTATTCGTCATGTTTCATACCAAAACATCACAAACTTAGTTCATCTCTACCATTGTGGCAAGTCTAAGTTATTTGTAATGTTTCGTGCCGAAACAAAACAAGCTTAGTTCAACTCTACTATCTTGGCAAGTCTAAGTTATTCGTCATGTTTCATGCCGAAACATCGCAAACTTAGTTCAACTCTACCATCATGGCAAGTCTAAGTTATTCATCATGTTCACTATGGGAACATCGTCATAAGACTGTTCAGTCCTATCGCACAAATTTCAACAACATTTTGTAATGAACAAAGTCGATATTAGTATTTTATTAATACTTCGGCTAAGGTTACTGACACCATTAGAGCCGAGCTCCAAATTTCGTCAAGCCACATTCCACGGCCTCAACAATCTCTTACCATCAAGATCTTCTAATATTAGGTAAACTTTGTTTTATCTCAACTCTGTTCACCTCCGGTAAGTTCTGATCTTTTGAAAATTGATCACCTAGGTCAGACTCCTGTCTTCTTGGACCTACTCATCTAGGCCGAGATCTTGTCTTCTGGATCTGGGATCTGCTCACTTAGGCTAAGCTCTTAGCTTCTCAGACTTACTCATCTAGGCCGAGATCTTGTCTTTTAGGATCTGGGATCTGAGATCTACTTACTTAGGCTGAGCTCTTGTCTTCTTGGACCTACTCATCTAGGTCAAGATCTTGTCTTTTGGATCTAGGATCTGCTCACTTAGGTTAAGCTATTTTCTTCTCGGACCTAAGCATCCAGGCTGAGATCTTGTCTTCTGGATCTGGGATTTGCTCACTTAGGTTGAGCTCTTATCTTCTCGGACTTAATCATCTAGGCTGAGATCTTGTCTTCTAGATCTGGGATCTGCTCACTTAGGTTAAGCTATTGTCTTCTCAGACTTAATCATCTAGGCCGAGATCTTGTCTTTTGGGATCTGAGATCTGCTCACTTAGGCTGAGCTCTTGTCTTCTCAAACCTAATCATCAAGGCTGAGATCTTGGCTTCTGGATCTAGGATCTGCTCACTTAGGTTAAGCTCTTGTTTTCTCGGACCTACTCATCTAGGCCGAGATTTTGTCTTTTAGGATCTGGGATCTGCTCATTTAGGCCGAGCTCTTGTCTTCTCGGACTTACTCATCTAGGCTGCGATCTTGTCTTCTAGGATCTAGAATCCAAGATCTGCTCATTTAGGCCAAGCTCTTGTCTTATCGGACCTAATCATTTAGGCCAAGATCTTGTCTTCTAGGATTTGGGATATGTTTCACCTAGGCCAATGTCTTTTCTACTTGAAGGTCATCTTTATCTCCTCAAGAGCGCTTATGCCCCCTAATTTTTGCATTCATATCTTCTAGAAGGGTCTTCATTCCATCAATGTTGACGTATTCTCCATCTTTGCTGAACTCGTCGTCGCCGACACGTTGATCTTGCACGATGATGGCCATCTATTCTAACTAAGTTTCCACAGACGGCGCCAAATTGTGGGTGTTGATTTCTGACCACACAACCAATCAGGGAACTTAGCTGGAAAGCACGTGCCAGAATAGATTAAGCCAACCACCCACCAACAAGAAAATGAGAATACTGCGGTAGTTCGTCCACCCGGGAGCACTCCGACGATCAAGTCAGTCACTTATCTCACAAGATATCATCAACTCAAATCAAGAGCTCACAACATAAATCATATCACAAATAAAAGCATATCTTAGATCCACAAGGGTGCCTTACTTTTATAATGGTTAGTGTCCAACTTCTCCTAGAAGTCTTACTTTATAGAACTCTATCCTTTACAAGGATAACATCTATCACAACTCATACTATTCAGATTAAGATGAACTTCCTTAAGAGTCCCATCTTTATCCAAATAGGTAGTTTGATGTCATCTAGGACTCTAGTCCTCTATCCAAATATCTCGAATTTTGGTATTACCGCACCATATCTCAGCACCATGGTCTGCCCACGTGGCACCTTAGCTAACAACCTCGACCATGTGGATTACCCAAAAATATGTCCCCACATATGCCATGTGGTTGGTGTGATGAATAGTGGTGTATAGTGAAGGTTTTATCACCTATAAATATGTGAGTTTACATGGCAATGAAGATATAGAAAAATTGTGTATTACATGTGTGATATTTTATTTCCTCTTCCGTTGTGGCTCTTCTTTCTTTATTTTCTTTTGTTTTATAATACGTTATCAACAAGAGATTCTAGCCAGCTGAGAAGACAAAGTTACTGGGTGGTTGTTATAAATATAAATAAATTCTAAAACTAATTTTATATTTCTTTAATATAGTTACGTGATACTAAATATATTATTTTTGTTAAATTTAGTAATCATGTCAAATCTTTCAAAATTAGAATTCTTAACTCTTGACATTTCTGGAAAAAAAATTATTTATCTTGGATTTTTGATGTTAAGATCCACCTTGAAGCAATAAATCTTGGAGATACCATAAAACATGAAAATGAAGCATCCCTGCAGGATTGCACAAATGCAATGATATTCATTCGCCATCATCTCTAAGAAAAATTAAAAAATGAGTACCCCACAGTAAAAGATCTACTAATTCTGTGAAATAATTTAAAGGAGAGATTCGAGCACCAGAAGATCGTTATCCTCCCAATAGCCCGTTATGATTGGTTGCACTTGAGGTTACAAGATTATAAATCAGTTAGTGAGTACAACTTTGTTTTATTTAAAATAATCTCTCGATTAAAATTATGTGGAGAAAAAATTACTAAAGAAGATATTCTTGAAAAAACCTTCTCCACATTTCACGCTGATAATGTACTTCTGTAGCAGCAATATAGAGAGCATCGTTTTTCAAAATATT